CCCCTTCACTTCACGAAATGGAGCTTCCCGAAGAAAAAGAAGGCATTTTGCCTGGATGAGGATCCCTTGAAGCCTGGGGAGGCTCCTGGCCTGGGGCCCAGGTCTTCCCCTCTGCTGTCGGTCCCCATTTTGCACCCCGTCTGGGGCAACCCGAGGGAGAAGGTGAGGAAGAGGGAATTTCGGTCTTGCAGGTGGAGGAAAGGGATCGTGGCAATGAGAGAGGCCCCCAAAGGTGAAACCACGCCAGCAGGTACAACCGTCCCTGGAGGAGGTTCTGACTCCATCCTGGGGCGGGACTTCATCCCAGCCGGTCAAGGTGGGGTTTGCAAGGCATGTGGACACGTTCCCCTCACCAGGCCCCCAGGGTTTGGAGGTATTTCTGCGGCTTCCTTCTGTCTTCCCAGGCTTTGAAACAGAACAATAAGCAAGGCGAAAACTTGCAGTCAGCAGGGAACTATTTCTTTGAGTTTGGCGGCTGAGCCCTTCACCAAGCCCCACTGCGGACCGAGGGCTCTTTTGTCCTTGGGGAGAAAGGCTGTTCCCCGTAAGCTTGGATTATTATATCCAGCAGGACTGGGTACAGTTATGGTGGAAATTTCACCTTAAATGATAACTTGCGCCCTGACGTTAAACCACCCTATCTTTTCTCCCATAGGCACACCCCAAGGGAGACAGAGACGTGAAAATCATCTGAAAGCCAGTGTGAGGCTGGCGTTGGAGCCACTAACACAGCTAGAACAGGGCTGCACCGTTGACAACCTGCCCCTGTGGTTTCCAGTAGCCCCATCAAGCACGGGAGTAGGGGGACAGACACCAAGGTGTCCGGGGCCCTCAGACCTCACGCCATCTCACTGGTTTGTTGGGTGAGAGTGTGAGTTGAGCAGAGCCATCCTTTATCCCAGACTTGGCATCAGACCTGGGATTAAAGCCTCCATTGTCTGCAGTCCTGGGTCTCTGCCCCACCACCTGCCAATCGGTCCCCCGCCAGCTGTGCAGAAAGACAGGCTCCGTGTCAGGTCACCAAATGGGCCAGCACCTGAAATGGCCTAATAAATAAGCCCGGGTGTTGAGGTTTGTGGGCACACATTTGCCGAGCATGCTGGCGCTCTCTGCCTGGGAGCTGATGGGGTACCCCGTGCCCCCCCGCCCCATCCCAGTCCCTGGCTCCTGTCAGTGGGGGGAGAGATTTGAAAGTGCAAGAGGCGATGAGTCCCCTGTAGGCCATCACCGTGCCCAAGAGAGAACTCCTTGCCCAGGGGAAGGGCTGAGAAGTGGCTCATGCCCCTTCTTGGCTTGTCTGCCTTTCCGGAGACCCTTCTGCCTTAAATTGAGACCAGAGTTTGAGGGGCGCCTGGGTGGTGCAGTCGGTTAAGCGTCCGACTTCAGCCAGGTCACGATCTCACGGTCCGTGAGTTCGAGCCCCACGTCGGGCTCTGGGCTGATGGCTCAGAGCCTGGAGCCTGTTTCCATTTCTGTGTCTCCCTCTCTCTCTGCCCCTCGCCCGTTCATGCTCTGTCTCTCTCTGTCCCAAAAATAAATAAACGTTGAAAAAAAAAATTAAAAAAAAAAAAAAAAAAAGAGACCAGAGTTTGGGATGAGGTCCACCTCCTCTGGGCTAGCTTCTGCCCCTGTTCCTTTGGTCCCTACCCCTGAAATGCTTTCAGATCCTTGCAGAGGCCTGGTCTCCCTTGCTCTGGCCCTGTGCTCAAGCTGGGACTTCCACCTTGGCCTATGTGTTAGTCAGGGATCTCCAGAGAAACGGAACGAAAAGGATGTGTCCGAGAGGATATTTATTATCATAGGGCTTGGTATAAGTCCCGATCTGACTTCGAAAGACCAGGAACCATGAGTGGTGTCTGAGGGCAAGAGAAGAGGGACGTCAGCTCAAGCAGAGAGAGAATGAAGTCCCCCTTCTTCTGCTTTTCTTTCTACCTGGGTGCCCATTGGGCGGGTGGGGGCGGGTGGGTGATGCCTGGACACACTGGGGAGGGCCATCTGCTCTACTCAGTCTACAAGTGCAAATGCTAACATCTTCCAGAAAGACCCTGACAGACACACCCAGACATAATGCTTGCACCAGCTCTCTGGGCATCCCTTAGCTAGCCAACTTGCCCAAATTAACCATCCTGGTCTGTCTACTTTGTCTTTCCCATCCCCGTCTGGGGATTCTCCTGGCCCTCCAAGACCGGGTTGGGGCCTCTTCCGTGCTCCCATGGCCCCTGTCCTCCCGCTGGTCCCATCACTGCATCATGGTATTCCTCTTAAGGGTCTTCCTTGGGGAAAAACAGGGTCAGTCTGAGTCACTGATATAACCACAGTGCCCCTCACACAGTCTGGCAATAGCAGACTCCTCAGAATACTCAATGCATGAAAATACCCTGGGTTTACTGGATTTGAGCCTCTGACTGGACAGAACTAACAGTTCAGGTCAGAGCAGTTGGCAGGCAGGGTCCCGCACCGTGTGGAGTACGGGTCCTCCAAATCCAGGGACCCGGCCAGTTCTAACACTTGGGACACTTGGGGAGGGGGGAAGGAGAGGGTCTGTTTCAGTGGGACCGCTCAAGTTTTAGGAAAGCTATAAACAGGTGGACTGGCTGTGATGGGCTCTTTCATTTCTCCAGGTTGGAGGTGCCTAGGTCAGAACACCCAGATGGCCCCCACTCCGCCATCTCCGCGAGGCAAAATTATCTGGGCAGCCCCTGCTCTGTCATCTGCACAAAGGCAGAGCCCCCAGGCACGCCCGATGCTGGGGTCTCTACGAACCTCCGGGGTTTGGCTCACTCTGGTTCCCAGCACCCAGTGCAATCCCTGACCCAGGGTAGCTGCTCAACAATTGGTGGTTGAGTGACTGAAAGAAGAAGAGAGTGAGTTCATGGACAAGGAGATCTTTTCTTGGAGAACTGATAATGTAGCCCCAGCGGTGTCTCTGGAGACCTTTGCGTTCAAATTAGAAAAAACAAGCAAACAAACAAACCCCAAACTCCCCTTTAATATATTTAAAGGTGACTTCCCACCGGGAGTATCCCCTCTCCCCCATGAGGACGTGGGAGCGTTGAACGGGATCTTCGCTTACGTGCCCATCAGGATGAGAAGGGTCCAAATGACGGGGCACTTACCACCTCGCAATGAGAATGCGCTGCATCCACAGATGGCCACAAAGATAGAGCTGAGCACCATGGAGGAAGGAAAGCAAATAGCCCAACGACTCCATTCACCGCTAACGTGTAAAGCCCAGTAAACGGTGGGGCTGGGGGAGGTGAGGTCAAGCTGCATCTTCTTTAAAAAGATCTGGGGGCACCTGGGCGCCTCAGTCGGTTAAGTGTCCGACTTCGGCTCGGGTCATGATCTCACAGTCCATGAGTTCGAGCCCCGCGTTGGGCTCTGTGCTGACCGCTCAGAGCCTGGAACCTGTTTCAGATTCTGTGTCTCCCTCTCTCTCTGATCCTCCCCTGTTCATGCTCTGTCTCTCTCTGTCTCAAAAATAAATAAACGTTAAAAAAAAAATTAAAAAAAAAAAAAAACATCTGGGGGCACCTGGGCGGCTCAGTCGGTTGAACGTTGGGCTACGGCTCAGGTCACGATCTCGCGGTTCGTGGGTTCGAGCCCTGCATCAGGCTCATTGCTGCCCGTGTGCAGAGCCCTCTTCAGATCCTCTGTCCCACTCTCTCTGCCCCTCCCCTCTCTCAAAAAATAATAAAAACATTAAAAAATAAAAAATAAAGTAAAAAGAGCCGAAGCCACTTACAGAAAATGTTACCATTCACGAAGTATTAAGCAGTGTCACCATTATTGGGTGTATGTTATGTCACTCTCCGGAGCTTTTTTGGAAGAAGCAGTGTTCGCCCTTTCTCAGAAATAATTGAGGAACCAAGCGGTTACTTCACTTAGCATTTGCTGTAGACCCTAGAAGAATGATTTAGAGTTACTTTACCAAGATGGTATAGAAAGGATTCCTCTTTGAATTCACTTCTCCCAGCTTCTTAACTCCCCAGTTCAGCCTCCTTTGCCCCAGGCTGCCCCCCTAACCAATGCAGGTTGGCGTCTGCCACCTCCCTTCCTCCTTGCCTTCTGGTGCCATCTTCCTCAGACATCTGAGCACCCCCCCCCACCCCCACCCCCACCCCATGTCCAGATATCAAGCGAATCTTTCACTTAATGACAGTGAGTGAGGTGTCTACGCAGCACAACGTCATGGATCTCAAACCTCAAGCAGCACTGGAATCACCAGAAGCTTATTCCAGTGGATTCGCAGGCCATACC